CCCCTGCCCGCTAACCTTTTCTGTTTCAGAGACAGCCAGGATCAAGAAACGAAGACAACGACACACACACACACACATACACACACCCCATACCCTCCTTTCCCCTCCCCTCCCGCGCTAGCCTAAGGGCCACCTTAGCAAAGCGCATCCCAGGCTGCATAAGCCGCACTGCCCTACCCAACCATACCACACATAAACATGACACTACTCCCGGGGTTTACACAGACGAGCCGGCGAAGCAAGAAAAGAGCCAGAAGAAAGGGCCCTAGCCGGCGGGGCTCAGCCAGGACAAAAGGAGGTCCCACAAAGCGCCTACACCGGTCGCATTTGCGGTCGGGGTAGACGACGGATGGGGCCCACCTAAGAAGGCTGTCCAGGCCTACACGAGAAGAGGCAGGATAAAGAGGGATAATCCCCCTCGATCCCAAATCATTGAGGCCAATTTCTAGCCATGGAATAATGGCGCGCGCGAAATAAGGCACTATAAAAACTATTTGGAATATTATAGCTACAACAATTCAAATATTATTGTCCTGTAATTAGGCCAGTAATGTAATAAACCCTTTTACATACATACACTACTGGAAAAAATGAAATTTTTCTGTCTTTTGGTCTCTATATTATTTTTATAAAGTCTTTGAATACGGCCCAACAGAAAAAAGGGATAAGGAATCGAGTATAGCTAGCTGATTGGTTGAATAAAATGTAGCGCGCTGCTGTCGAAATTCTGTGAACGAAGCTTAAGCCCTTACTAGCTCCATCTCTCTCGCACACGTCTGAGCGATTGCCGTTTATATAGTCGAAATGACAGTTGGGCGAGTCCAGTAGTTTATAAGGTCTATGGAAAAATTACTTATTATTTTGTCAAAACACGTCACTGGCGGCGCACGCACACTTCTAGTGACAATTGCGGAACAGCGCCTAAAATCGTTACACATCTCTACTGTATCAGTTCAGAGTAACTCTGTACTGCTAATAGCTTCTATATCTGCGAAATCGGAAGGCCCCCTGAATTCAATTACCAACTGATGATTTTGGAGCATGGCATGGCGAGTTTATTAAAAAATTATAATATCCCTAACGTTCTAATTTTTTTTATCTTGATGAGCGATGGTTAGTAAATTGTGAAAAGATTTTATTTAGTAAGTAATTAATTATAATAACAAAATAATGAGTGCAGAAACCCAAAATATTCAAGTTGTATCTTCTGAAGATATTGAAAAAGCCGAACAACTTAAGTCGGATGCAAATGAATATTTTAAAAGTAAGTTGTATAGGAATATAAAAATCAAAGAAAATTATTAGACTTGAACTCTTCTCCAGCAATGAATATTTTATTATACAAAGTTTTAGAAAACCTGTTGTCGGAGTAATTAACATATCTAACCTAATTGTCTGTTTTCAGAACAAGATTATAATGCTGCAATTGATTTATATTCTAAAGCAATTGAGAAAAATCCGAATGTATCAATATATTATGCTAACCGTAGCTTTGCCTATTTAAAAACTGAATGTTTTGGATATGCGTTGACAGATGCTTCAAAAGCAGTAGAACTTGATAAAACTTACGTCAAAGGCTACTACCGAAGGGCAGCCGCTCATATGTCATTGGGAAAATTCAAGGAGGCCCTTAAGGATTATGAATATGTAAGTTGCATAATATTGATTGCTTAGTAATAATTTAATAATGGCAATTTTAAATGTGGATAGACAGTCATTTATGACAAACTTGAATCAAAATTTCTTCTAATTAAAAGATCCCTTATTTATAGTGCATGTGGTCTGCATAATAACAAGTGAAAGGTGCATTTTCAATTACCTGTTTAACATTTGTAAACGTAAACGTAGCACATTAAACAGCTGAAGCTTTTAGTTTTAAGCAGTTATTAAATGTAGTCGTAGTTGGAAAATTTGATCATTACTGTAGTTCCTTATTGAAATGATCCTGTAGTTTAAGCGATCCATTTAATAAATAGAAAAAAGATTAGAAAATTTGTGATCTAAATTTATATTACATAATTTTCCTTAAATGTATCGGACAATTAACTGCATGCCACTAACACACGTTGAAATAAAAATATATAATTTTAAATACCTACTTGTAGGTTTTAGTTGAAAAATCAAACTATATATTTTAAATCAGCTATACACACCATTAAGTGTGCTGTTGAATAAAATTTGTTGAAGTAACATTTATATCACTGTATACATGCTTTATACTCAATTCACACTAATTTTTTTTTATAGGTAACTAAGGTTCGACCCAGTGATAAAGATGCTAAATTAAAATTTACAGAATGCAATAAAATAGTCAAGAAAATTGCATTTGAAAAAGCAATTTCTGTTGAAGACAATAAAAAAAATATTGCGGATAGTATAAATTTAGATGCTATGAGTAAGAAATATTTTGTGGGTTAATATCTTTGTACACATAACTAAATTTAATTTTTAGCTATTGAAAATGAATATACTGGCCCTGAACTGGAAGATGGCAAGGTAACTCTAAAATTCATGAAAGATCTAATGGAATTGTACAAAAAACAAGGAAAACTACATCGGAAATATGCCTACAAGGTAACCACCAATCTTACTTTAAAAATTGCCTATTTAACTATTTCATTTGTCATATTGATATTTAAAAGAGTATGAAAATGTTTAATTTATTTTAGATACTGTTAGATATTAAAGCGTATTTCATGAAACAACCATCTTTAATAGACGTATCTATAGGAGATGACGAGAAATTTACGGTGTGTGGTGATATTCATGGTCAGTTTTTTGATCTTATGAATATATTTGAATTAAATGGCCTTCCTTCTGAGACTAATCCATATTTATTCAATGGAGATTTTGTTGACAGAGGGTCTTTTTCTGTAGAATGTATATTTACACTTTTTGGTTTCAAGTTATTATATCCGAATAAATTCTTTATGTCGAGAGGTAATAAAGGACTTTTTGTAGGTATTAAATGTAATACAATAAGACAATAGTTTTTATCTTTTAGGCAATCATGAAAGTGCTACAATGAACCAAATGTATGGGTTTGATGGGGAAGTCAAATCCAAATATACAGCTCAAATGGCCGATTTGTTTACAGAAGTATACAATTGGCTTCCTTTGGCACATTGTTTAAATAAAAGGGTGTTGGTGAGTTGATCAATGCATAAAATAGGTATAAGGAATTAATCAATAATTATTAATAAAATTATAATTTTTAAATCGGTCAGGAATACCTAGAGTATTGTAAGGTGAAAACAACGACTGTGTGAGTAAATATGACAAATCTATCAAATTATTATTTTGTTAAGTATGTAAAATACTGTGTGCTTTCCAAAAATGCGAAAATAATTGTATTAAACATATATAACTCATTGTTAACATTATTATTATTTAAAGTATTGTCCATCGCTAGCCACTACTTTTCTGGCAGCATATGGATTCTTCGTTCAAAGAACAATTCATCTTTTGATGCTATCCACCAATCAATCTAATTTTTTGTATATTCATAAGATTGCTTAGTCAGTCCATGTTCCATCGGAACAAGTAGTAATCTGATGGAGCAATATCTGGTGAATATGGTGGGTGGGTTAAAAATTTTCCATTTCAGCGTTTGCAAGTTTTCAATGCACTGCTCAAATGCATCAATTGTGTTCGGTAGTGTTCACCAGTGATGGTTTCATTTGGTTGAAGCAGCTCATAGTACAGAACACCAAGCTGGTCCCACCAAATACAGACCATGAATATTCGACCTTGCCGTCGATGTTAATATATAATTTTCTCCATTTTTCCTTCCTACTTACATTTTGGTTAATGGTTAGAGTAAATTAATGGTAAAACTTTAACAGTCTGGATGAGTAACAGCAAAAAGGAAATAAAATTAGTTTGCTAATAATGGAGTCGGTAAGAAATGATTAAAAAATCTCATTAAGAAAAATAAATACGGAATTGGGAGTATGCATATCACATATTCAGAGAATTTTGAGTGACTAAAAAATAAAACCTTTTTAACCAGTTTTTATACACAAGCTTGAAGGAAGAGTTTCCGCTTGTTAATCAGAGTGATATAATTGGAGAACATATGAAACGTTCTTTTTGCAAACACATATTTTGCTCTCATAAATCAATATAATAAATAGGGTTGTGTCGAATCAAAATTATCAGTACTGGACAGAGGAAAATCTGCGTTTCAAAATAATAAGAATAGTGGAATCTTAAACTAGTATAGTAGGTTCCTATTCCCTTAACTCAAACTGAGAGTTGGATTTGGAAGTTGCAGAAAATTTGGAAAAAGATTCAAATTATACTTCCAACAGAATGGCTCCTCTGCATATAATGCAGTCTGCTTTAGAGAATGACTAGATAAGTAGTTCCCTGGAAAATGGATAGGAACTATTGGATTTTATAATCTTTTTGATGGGGATACTTAAAAGAAAAAGTGTACAAGTGTGATTTATGAGGCAATGTGGCAGTGGCGGCTCGCCAGGTGACGCAAGTAATGCACCGCTTCACCTAAAATTTCCGTTTGGTTATGCAATTTAAAATTATTTTTTATTTCATATAAATTTTATAATTTAGGTATAATTCTCTATTGAAAATGTATTATGTTTGTTTGTTTTATAAGCAGAAATAAACAGAATAGTTGCACGGTGAATGCCTTCTAAAAAAACATTGCTTTCGTTGAGTGCGAACATCAACTTCATACCATACAACGTATAGTATAAGCAAGTGACGTAGATCGAAATCAGTCTGTATTCCGTTTCTCTTTGTATCGGTTGTCATGGCGACCAACACGTAAGTAAAGTACGGCGTGGGGGAACGAGTGACACAGAAATTTAAGCAGCATTGTCATTATCCATCGCCTGCCTTTAACTTTAAACAGTTTATACGATATGTCGCCTAGTGCACGATTATAACGGTTCTTTGTTAATATTGGTTTTGTGTCAATAATTGTAGAAATGTTTCATATGAATGATCCAGTATGTATTTTATTGGAAACGCCATTTTCCAGGTAGAAAATTGAGGACAAAAAGGATTTTTTAAATTGCAAGAGACCTGTGCCTTCTCTCGATGTGGAAAAAAGGGAGAAGTCAAAAGACAAAGTGTATGTTCGGATGTTTCAGAATTCGGAGTATAAGTGGTTGTGTGGAAGTGTTTATTTAAAAAAACTTTTCTGTATACCGTGTTTAATTGTGGGTGTATAGTCGGGCGTATCGAATAAGGATTTAACAATTTTGGGAACATCACGCGAGGCTGTCATAATCACGAAGCTTCTTTGGAACATATACGGTGTGCGTTAATGTTCACAGAAGTCCACGAGCAGAACTAATATTTCTATTTTTTATAAAATTTAAATGAAAATCCTTCTTGCGAATGTCAGTTTTTCGATAATGCAAATGCAACTAAAAATTTCCAGATTCATTTAAAGCCGCTTGACCTTGAAAATTTGAAAATTTTTGCTTGCGGCGCTTTTTTTTCCTATTTAGTCAATCAATAAATATGCTAATGTTACAAGTCGCCACTGCAATGGGGACATATTTAAAAACAAAATCAGAGAAGCGGTGTAAATTGTTACGCCGGAATGATTCAGGCAGTTTACGGGAAGTTCAGAAGAAGAGCAGAAAAACGTGTTGAAGTCAGTAGAGAATATCTTGCATAAATTTTATTTATTTATTTAGACTACCTTGTTTCTAGTATAGCAGTCATCTTTGAGTCCTATAAAATAAATTAAATGAATCTGTGAGTCCGGTTGCTCTTTATTTTCCCAAGGCCACCCATGATAAATGTTTCCATTTACTCGTAACGGTATTCCGAAAAGAATTAAAAAAGTGCGTTTTATAAAGTTCAAACAAATATATTGATATATATTTGAATTCTGCTTAGTATTAAGAAGTTTTATTAATATTTTTTTGTATCTCTTCAAATTACATTTTACTTTAGATGTGTTTTTAGGTTTTCCAGTTTTTTGAACACCCTTCACAAGTTTTTGAAATTATAAACCTATTTATCAAAATTTCAAAACAAGCAAAAATTTTTATAGAGCGACTATCGAAAAATGGAAAATAAATAAATAATTAAAATCTTTAGCATTTGCTTTCAACATATTCTTTTCTTAGGTAATGCATGGTGGTCTATTTTCTCGAGACGACGTTACCTTAGAAGAAATTAGAAAAACTGAAAGGAATAGACAGCCGCCAGAGGACGGTCCGATGTGTGAATTGCTATGGTCAGACCCGCAACCGCAGCCCGGAAGAGCGCCAAGCAAAAGAGGAGTTGGTTGTCAGTTTGGACCGGATGTCACTAAGAAATTTTTGGATTTGAACAAACTAGATTATGTCATTAGAAGTCATGAAGTAAAAAATGAAGGATATGAGGTTGCTCATGATGGAAAATGTATAACTGTATTTTCAGCTCCCAATTATTGGTAAGAGACACTATTTAAACATATCTTTTTACTTATATTTTAGAAATTGTATTTCACATCTTTGTATCAGTCATTGAATGGACCTTTTTCACTAGTTCCCACTTCGCTTTTAATTAGTAATTAATTAATAACACATCATTAAAGGAGTGTTAAATCATTATTTCCCTTGCCCACTAGAGAAAAAGAATCAAATAAATGTACCGTTGTCAGCACTGCCACATTGAAAGGGGTCATCAATTCAAGTGTTGATGTTAAAATTGGTTTTTCCCAACCAGACATATCCGACTCGGAAAATAAACAATTCTTCACCACACAGTAATTGCTATTACACATCATACAAGTTTACGTGTCGAAAAACAGTGTTCTTGTTATCAAAACAATATGATATAGTGATTATTGTGTCTTGAAGAAATATCTGTTTTCTGAGTGAGACATTTCTGGTTAGGCAAAACTAAATTTATAAAATCAACATTTTGACTAATCCTTTTGACCTAATAGACCGTGAGCTAGCGCACATGGGTGTGGCATCATCGAAAAATGTCTGACATTTTGAGGTCTGAAAAAGGTAAGTTAGTTAATGAAAATAAATGTGGTTTTAAGGGCCGACCCGTGTTCGAAAATTTGGAAAATTAATTTCCTTTTGCATAAAATAATTAGTTTTTCACTCCTCTTAAAGTGTCTGGCAGTTGATGCAAAAATAAACATTAATAAGTACCTAACAATTTTCAAATGCCAGACAGTTTTAAATAGCCGAAAGGGTGAACCTGCAAGAAAAAAAAAAATTCATCTTTTACTTTTTGTCTGTCAATCGAAACAATGAAAATTTTTGATATGAAAGTGATAAAAATAAATTGCTAGACGGTTTCCAATGTTCGGAGTCGAGTATCTCTGCGGAAGATTTTGTGAAAATTTTTAACATTTTTCAGTAATCTTAATGTACAAAAAAAGAGGGCCATTGTGTTTGCGGTATTATCAAATGTTATTAATTTTTCAACGTCAGACAAATTGGTCGGTTCGAAAATTTATAAATAAGTAAAAAAGGCGTGAAAAAATTTATAAAAATTTCAATAATTTATTTTTGTCTGGCATTTTGCATTCCAATTAGATGTGCACGTATAAACACAACATACAAATGCCAGACGAGTTGAGCTGTTCGAAAATGTATAAATGAATTAAAAAGACAAAAAAATTAACGAAAACTTGGTTTTCTAATTTAAACGATTTATTTTTGTCTGGCATTTTGCATTTCTATTGAAAATACATATTTATACTTCATGTTAAAACGCCAGACAAGTTGGATTGTTCGAAAATTTAAATAAAAATTAAATTAAATTAAATTGTGTCTTTTTTTTGGCTGGCAATTCGTTTTTTAATAAAAAATACATTTACAAACTCAAATTAAAACTGCCAGACAAGTTAGGCTGTTCAAAAATATATAAATAAATAAACAAAGTTGTAAAAAAATACAATTTCTCATTTTTTTTCGACTCCCTTTATATTATAAATTGTAATTACACGGGAAACATACTCAAGATACTATTTCCGACATAAAATTTCCTACTGAATCTGATGCTGTCAACGAAAGTGACTTACGTAGCCAAGAAAAGCTGGAAAAAAGGAAAAAGCTCAGTAAATTTTAAAAAATCACATTTTAAGGGCTCACATATAGCTGAGCACCTAGAAGTAGGGTTATGTTTAAGATTTTTTTTCGTGTATAAAATTGCATTTTTTTAAAAAACCATAATAAACATTTTGAAGTATGACATTTATTATAAATTGTGTGAAAATTGGGTTCGAAAATTTTGAATGGTAAAAAAATTGCAGCCGTTTTCCGGGGTGTGTTTTTTTCGAGAGCGTTCGCGGTACCAGACGTGCCTCCGCCATTTCTTATCTGAAAAAAAAAAAAAAAATTATTTTCTCAAAGTAGATAGACAGAACTAGTACTTATCGAGCCGGAATTTGCGAATTCAATTTTTTCGGGTCATGGCAGTCATTTGCATAAAATTGGCGGTTTTTCGCCTTAAAATTGTTGAGTAATTATAAGAAAAAAAAAAAAACTATGTAAAATATCGAAAAAAGGGCTCGATAAGTACTAGATTATTGTGTGAAGCATAACTTTGAAAAATTTGATCCCGATCGGTTCAGTAGTTGCGGAGATATTTCTGGTACCGATTTTGAAAATACTGTTTCGAGTAAAACGCGTTTAAAGTTTTGCTTCCACTTTACAATGGAATAACTGGTTTATTTTTAAACTTACATGAAATCATCGATTCCTGGGCCATATGACGGATCTTCTCTAGACTTGTCGGAACTTGTCGGAACATGCTCTTGCTATATGTATAAAGGACGATAAATACGTAGAATCCAACAGGGGCGAGAACACCCAAATCGTGTAGTGTAGACGTAGACTAGAGCCAAACAGATGACAAAGGCCGCGTCTACCTGCGCCGGACCGTTATTCGTTGCTTACCAGGACAGTTACGAAACGCTATAACTTCGTCATTACTGCGAATTTCTTTATGAAATTTTCAGGGTAGACACTCGAAGGACAGTACTTTCAAATGAGCACCTTTTTGAAAAATGATTTTCCCAATTTACCCAGGTATATGTGAGCCCTTAAATCATTTTTGAATATGAAAATAAAATTGCAGGAATATGTTATTCAAAACATGAACTTCAAATAAATAAAAAGTGCTTATTACAAGATATTACAATTAATTGAAAATACACTTACAAACTCAAATTTTCTTTTGTCTGGCACAATTTTTCCATTTTCCAATTTGTCTGGCAAATTTTTTGTGACAAGAAAAATGGGTATTAATTTTAAGTACCCGAGATACCAGACAAATAGTGATCACTGAAAAATGTTAAAAATGTTGACATAATTTTCCACAGAGAAACTTGACTCCGAACATTGGAAACCGTCTGGCAATTTATTTTTATCATTTTCGTAACAAAAATTTTCATTGTTTCCATTGCCAAACAAAAATTAAACAATTAATTTTTTTTTTCTTCATGCAAGTTCACCCTTATGAACCACCCTTTCGGCTATTTAAAACCTTCTGGCATTTGAAAATTGTTAGGTACTTATTAATGTCTATTTTTGCATCAACTGCCAGACACTTTAAGATGAGTGAAAACTTGAAAATTAATTTTCCAAATTTTCGAACACGGGTCGGCCTTTAAAACCACCCCTATATTCATTAACTAACTAACCTTTTTCATACCTCAAAATGGCAGACATTTTTAGATGATGCCACACCCATGTGCGCTAGCTCAGGGTCTATAAAGTATTGTTTATTATTGTTTTATTTCCTTTCAGTGTGGCTTAAATACACACATCAAATAAAGAAAAGTAACAGAAAATGCCCTAAATAAATAATTACAGACAATATGCTGATAGTAGGTTCGCGTTTTGCTTTGAATTTATGGTTGTATTCACATTCTACTGATACACAAGCATTTTGTTGAATTTTTTAAAAGAGATCCGTATTTTAATAACGGTCAGTGACATCACTCGCTGTTTGATTGAGGGACTATTTGGTGCATGAAAAATATGTTTCATTGAGCAATGCTGTTAATTTAATACAAAATTGAATTTGGTGAAAAAGGTCCATTATCTTGATAACATTAATTAATGGGGTAGTTGCACATTTTTTTATTCTTCTCTTATTAAATTCATTTCGTCATAAAAAGTCAATTGCCACATAAATTTTAAATTTTTAATTAATAGTTTCCATATAAAAAAATATAGAAATTCAAAATAATTCTCTATGCAAAAAACGCAGTCTTAAACAAAGGCGGCTGACTCTTACGTCATGATCCGGTATCGGTCCAAAGCAAATGAGTCTCGGTAATCTGTGTAGTTCTGTGTTCTGTAGTTTGTCTCACTCTTACTCATTTATGTTTATGAAATCTACATGTGCCAGATAGATTTTATATTATTTACTTTTACTTAACACCATATTGTTCATTATTTTAAAAACGGTACATGGCTACAGAAGCTGGATTTGTCCAAGAGCAATCTGATAATTTGCCAAAAATTGATGTATCAATGTTTGCATAATCCTCACAGATGTGTAAAATAGATTTAACACCAACACCATTTCTTCATTTTCTCATCCTTTGGTATATTAAATAATTTGTTGGGGACAGTTATTGTTGTGGTTACTATAATATTTATGTTCAGACACTGTTATGTCTTTCATGTTCTTGTGTTGTAATTCTGATCCTGAAGCCGCCATGCATTAAAGCTGCTTGGGTAGATATTGTGAAAGTGTTTGTAGAATATGAAAATTAATTAAACTTGTCTTTAAATTTATACACTAAAACTAACTACTCAAAACTACTCAGAATTCAATGCGAACACAAACTAAATCAACACAAGATTAAATGACAGCAATGCAATGACAGCGCCATCCTCCCGCGTCTTGACAGTCTTCACTCATATACCGGATCCTAACGTCACAAATTGCTTCACCAATTAGAGACCGTTTTCGCCCACCTAATTATATTCAATATTTCAATAATTAATTACATATTAATAGTTAAGTTTAAAGTGGTTTTACATATAGAAACATACTTTTATAATAATTTCTGCACTTTAAATAAATTTTGCTTCAAAAGAAAATTTGATGCAACTTCCTCATTGTAATTATTATAAAAACAATGTTTGATATCGTATTTGTATTTTTGTAGTGATACTATGGGTAATAAAGGTGCATTTATAACCTTAAATGGGAAAGATATGTTACCAAAGTTCACTACTTATGAAGCGGTGGTAAGTACATATATATTAAAAATTTTCTGCACTTAATGACAAATCGTCTTAAAATTTTCAGTTTTAATTAGAGAAGTATGATTGATTTTCTAATCTTTGTTCTTAACATATGAATATAGAAATATCGCTGTTTGATATATTGACATTATTTATATAAATATTTTATCTTTTTCAGCCACATCCGAATGTTAAACCAATGGCATACGCAAACTCCCTACTAAGTCTAATGTGCTAGTACCTGCCTTTTTGTAGTTAATTTTATAGATTTTCTAATAATTTAATTTTGTAAAATCCTCAATAGATCATGTATAGGCATTTTAATTACTTTTGCTTTATACGTAGTTGAACTACAATATTATTATGTAATTAATTATAGGTAATTCTACAGTTTTTTGTTATTGTTATATTTTTTTGCGTCGTCTACATAAATGAAATCATCTGTAGGACCATTAAACAAGATGTTTATTTTTATTGCTTTTATTTTGTTAAAACGTTAATTGAATGATTGCTAGTAGTGGTGGCTCCTATAAGTGACACGACTTTCGTCATATTAAATTGAGAACATTAATACTTTAGGTAATTTTAATAGGTATTTATCACAATTTAGTAATAAGCAAATCTTTACCTAAGAAAAAAACATCTTTAAAGCAGTAATATATTAATATTTGAATTAAGTATAAAATATTTATAGATATATTAACAATATGTCGGTTCCCATACATTCGCATTTTTCATCCTCCTTTCTTTTTTTTAAGGTATGTAATCCATAATATACAAGCTAGTTCGGGATTAATTGGCCAAATTTGAAATTTGAATTTGGGTGTTATAAATTAAAAAAGGCCTATAGAGTAACACTTAATTTTTGAGTAAAAGTGTGACATTTAAAAAAATCATCCAAACTTTGTCTAAAACCTTGGACATAAAATTATGGGACGTGGTCTAAGGATTTATTTAATTAAAACTGAAAATTCACTGCATTCAAATATAAATATGCTTAGCAGTGACAGAAATACTGGCAGTTGCCATCATTAAGGATCTCCGAAATTGAGCACTATTAGGTATTTTGCAATTTCAAACTAATTGTAATTCCTAACATTTCGAAGAAAAAATGTATCTAGAAAATCAAATATTTTCAAGTTGTGTATTACTAGATTCTTTTTCTAAATACGTGTAACCGCAGAAAGTTCAAAAGAAATATTAGAACAGAGATTTTCCAGCTTTTTGTTAGAGGTAGCAGAAGATATCTCTCCCCCCCAAAAAAAAAGACAAAACCTTACTGTCAATTATTTTTCCTTCCATCATTACTTTGTATTTAAATTTATATTTTTTTATTTTTTTCAAAGCAAATAGTTTTAAATTACTTTGGTTTTTAAGTGTTTGGTAATGAAATGTAAGTGAAAAAGTAACAACTCAGAAATTCCAAAATTTGTAGAGGCATTAAGTTTCTGTGGTTCGTGATAGTGGCACATGTTGTCTCCACCATCCAATATATTTTTGTACTCGAAATCAGCAGATTTTTGATAAATCATTTTTATAAATTTGTATATTGAAAATGAAGTGAAATTTTTAAATTTGATCAGTTAATCCTGAAACACCCAGTATAAATAGTAAATAACAATATGGTCAAATTGATGAAAATTTACTATACAGGGTGTCTCGAAATTAATGCAACAAAATTTGGTCACAGATTCTTAACACAAATTTAGGGGACCTGTATTTTTTATTTTTGCCTAGTGGCCCCCTCTTTTGGAGTTACAACCCCCTGAAATCCGCCCTTAAGAATAATATTTTTTTATATATCTTAGAACCCGCTTGTATGAGATTAATTTAGTGATTAAATTTGGTACACAGGGATTTTATGCCGTAGAATCTGATGATGCTACGCTTTTTGGCGAGGAACCCGCTTAAGACAATGTTTCGTGGGCCCCCTCGTCTTTGGAGCCAAAAAAATTTGGTCGTATATTTAAATTTCTTAAAAATTATTAGTTTGCAAGAAAGCCATTTTTAGAAACTTTTTTGTCACTTGATGTTTTCGAGAAAAATGTCAAAATGTGATGGAATGCATATCGTGATTCACCATTTTCCTCAAAAACATCGCGCTTTATGAAGAAAATATCAACCTAACTAATGATTTTTAAGAAATTCAAATTTGCGACCAAATTTTTTTGGTTCCAAAGACAAGGGGGCCCACAAAAAAGTGTCTTAAGAGGGTTCCCCGCCAAAAAGCGTAGCACTATCAGATTCCACATGTCATAAAACCCGTCTGTACCAAATTTCTCTCGTTCAACAGAGTTCTGAGATATAAAAAAGATTATTCTATATTAGGGGCAGATTTCAGGGGGCCGTAACTTCGAAAGAGGGGGCCACTTGGCAAAAAGAAGAAATACGGGTCCCCTAAATTTGTTTTAAGAATCTATGACCAAATTCAAGACAAGAGATGATTCCACATATAAAAATAAGACAAAATGTTCTTATCAACATTTCTGATATAATTTAATTTTTTTTGAAGTAAGTATTTTGAGTAAAGTTTGGCTAAAGATGGCCGTTTTTACTACTTTCTGAGATCGTGCTTGGGTAAAATTAAATAAAAAAAATTTTATATAATTTTATAATAAAAGTTAGCGACATATATTTTCTTCAAAATTGTTTCAGTTCCAACTTTCGTTCAGGCTACTACAATAAAAAATGAAAAAATAAAAAATCTTTTAATGCCCAATATCTCAGGCAAATTGGACAAAAATGGATCCATGTTGATGGGAACTATTTTGTATGTTTGAAAGAAAAAAGTGATGGCACGTTATTTCAAACACCCTAATATATATGTTCTGAGGCTGTAATGGTTCCCTATATAAATAAAATTATGCACTATCAAAGAAAACTGAAAGTCTGAAAAGTTACTAATTAATAAGTAAATGAAATTTTCTTTTTTTTTTAAGTGAAGTAAAGGGTGTCCATTTTTTTTTAACTTTTAAAGATATTTCTTAGGGGGTATTTCTGAGGTCACTGAGTTTATTTTCTGTCATATTTTGTAGGAGGAGATTTTATTTACTTAAAAAAATATATTTACTTTGGAAATAAGTAATGTCCGTTTTTCTTCAAATTTAAGATATTTCATTTTTAACTCTACAATTATCAATAGACTAATGAATGATGTATTCTCCATCATCATTTATGTTCTCCCAATGTTGCTCTTCTGTAGAAATCCTTTAGTTTTTACTCGAAAAACTCATCCAACCAAGCTCTTAACTCATTGTCATTGTTAAAAGAAACACTGTGTAAGGAGTTTGACAAAAAGCGGAAGAGTGGTTGAAAATCAGAAGACGCGAGATCGGGACAGTAAGGCGGGTGGGATAGATCTTCCTACAGTGACTCTATACAAGACAGTGGCGACAATAGAGTGTATCATTTTTAATTGGTCCACATGATTTTAGCTGCCATGTTGCATCCAGTGTCAAATTCATCTGTGATGTGTCATGTGTCAGGAGCGTTCTTGGTGTTATTCAATATTTGTATTGTTTTATTTTAATTTTGATGATTATTAGTGATACTATATTGGGTATTCTGTGCTAAGCTTCTTGCAGAAGGACGATGACCGTGAATTTCTTTCAGGTTTTTTGGACACCATAACACAAAATATAACACCTGCTTATTAGTCCAAGCATTCTGTCACGGATTAATGTTAAATTTGCAGAAATTATTACCTGTACAAAAAAAATATGACCGTATAGAAAATTAAATTTTAAATTGAGTTTCTTGTTCTTTAAACTCGATCCAATATGGCGAACATGGTTAAAAAAAATCGCAAAGTTGAAAAAAACGGTTTTTCTAAAATAACTAAAAAAATATAGCACGGATTGAAAAATTTTAAATGAGAAAGTTGTAGGTTTTAAAAAGATCTATCGACAGATTTTTTGAAAGTATCGATTGCTTTGTTACTTTTCGAGATATATCGAAAAAACCGTTAAAAATCTTCTCTTTTCTCTTCTTCTATAACTCGTTTACATTTACGTGCCCATATTTGCTATTTACTGCAAGCATAGCCCGCGGCAAGCCAAAAAAGTACATTTTTGAAAAATTTAAAAATATTAATTATTTTTCGAGATATATCGATTTTTTGAAAAAAAGGCGCTCTCGAAAATTGGCTAGATCTTCTCAGCGGATAGCCCTACAGTAACGATTTTCGGTTTATTTTCTTCGTAAAGAGTTATATTATCATGCTGTTAAAAAATGTTGACGATTTTATTAATTTTAAGGATCAAAAAATGACTGAAAAAGTTGCACTTTTTTTGGGTATGTTTTTTTCAAATAACTATTTCAATTTTTATTATTTTTTTGTACTTAATCTGGGGTAGCTAAACACGAATATTATAGCATTTTCGCCTTAGAAGCAAAATAGACCCGTAAATGTTTAGTTTTCTTTCTTTAAAAGTCATTTTCATAAAATAAAAATTGAAATAGTAATTTGAAAAAAACATACCCAAAAAAGTGCAACTTTTTCAAAGTCATTTTTTGATCCTTAAAATTAATAAAATCGTCAACATTTTTTAACAGCATGATAATATAACTCTTTACGAAGAAAATAAACCGAAAATCGTTACTGTAGGGCTATCCGCTGAGAAGATCTAGCCAATTTTCGAGAGCGCCTTTTTTTCAAAAAATCGATATATCTCGAAAAATAATTAATATTTTTAAATTTTTCAAAAATGTACTTTTTTGGCTTGCCGCGGGCTATGCTTGCAGTAAATAGCAAATATGGGCACGTAAATGTAAACGAGTTATAGAAGAAGAGAAAAGAGAAGATTTTTAACGGTTTTTTCGATATATCTCGAAAAGTAACAAAGCAATCGATACTTTCAAAAAATCAGTCGATAGATCTTTTTAAAACCTACAACTTTCTCATTTAAAATTTTTCAATCCGTGCTATATTTTTTTAGTTATTTTAGAAAAACCGTTTTTTTCAACTTTGCGATTTTTTTTAACCATGTTCGCCATATTGGATCGAGTTTAAAGAACAAGAAACTCAACTTAAAATTTAATTTTCTATGCGGTCATATTTTTTTTGTCCAGGTAATAATTTCTGTAAGCATTTCTCTATAATGCTTGGACTATATGAGGAATTTAAGGTTCCTGCTAACATAGAAGAACCAAAATTTAATCTTAGTTTTAGTGAATTAAATTCTCTTTATAATGTGTGCGGATATATTGCTCAAAGTATCTTTAAAACATCAAAAACTTGTAGAAACTCTGTACACGCTGTTAGTTCTAAAACGCCGATTTATAAAACATTTTCAAAATTTAGCGTACTTAGGAGATTTAGCGAACATTCACTCTTTCTTGCAATGAAGCGGTATTTTGTTTCTTCTTGCAGATGGAAAGTGTTTTACATGTTTTGCGATTGTATCTTGACGGAACATAAATTTAAAAGAGTTTTCTTAAAAGAAATGTCTGGTTTAAATTTAGATCCACCAAATTGTCATCAGATCAAAAATAATATTGTTAAAAGATTTATTATGTTCCGATTAAACATAGCTTCCAAAAAATGCCAAAAAGCATAAAAAAAGCTTGCAAGTAAAAGTGTTGCTGTACATTTATTTTAACAAATATTATCACTAGTATTAAGTATTTATTTTTGTAATGTAAACTCAATAAATTTCATTGTGTAATGTAGGTAAGCTTAATTTTACTTACCTAGAAAATAAAAACTACTAAGTAGTTGCTACTATTATATATTTATCCTCCCCTATTGCACAAGTAGATTCTACATTCATTCATTATTTAAAATCACTTTCCAAGTTTGCTTAAAATCTGTGCGTAAAATTTATAAGAAAAATACTCTTGTCCTTAATTTATTTTTTATAAAAGTTACTTTTAATTTGACATTGGATGCAACATGGCGGATAGGCGAGGTTTAGTCGCTATTGTCGCCACTGTCTTGTATAGAGCCACTGTAGATCTTCCTAGTTCAACTCCCCGAATGGCCGTTTTGGTCATATTGCCAATGTCTTTTTTGTTGAATACCGGCGTGGAGTCGCCGTCGTTGTTGAACATAGTGTTCTGCGTTGAAGGTTTGATTGTTGGGTAAGAGTTTGTAATAAAGAATCCCTTTCCAATCCCACCAAACGCATAACATTGTCTTTCGAAGATGACTGCTCTTGGCCGTGGAGTTGCTTGTTTTAAGATAAGAAGTGGATTTTATTTGTGGAAGGGCGAAATGGGCGGTGATTATTATACGCCTTCATTATAGCCATCTTCCTCTATCGCAATGGCCGATGAACCATGTAGACTTTCCGACCCTGTATAGCACAAATTTTCCGAGCAGTTTGAGCTGCTTTACGTTTTTCCCGTCTTGATTAAAAACAAAAGAAGCAAGTGCCGAAAATTATTGATTTTATCATTTATCAGCTTGACATTACATTTAAAACAAATGAAAATTCACAAAAATTAAATATAATGAAGCAACCAAAGACGCAATCTGATAGAGCAATAAGTTCTCTTTCAAATAATATGTGTCAGTTTGACAATGTGCTTAATTTTCATGTAAAATTTTAAATTTGAAAAAAACGGATATTACTTACCTATTTCCCAACCCATAACTCAGTAATTAATTGAGCAAAATGTGCCTATTAAAATTCAAAATTTTACTTCATTAGGCAATAGGGTTTTTGTCCCAAAACGGCAGTTGATTATGGCACTTTCAAAGTTATACTTAAGGTGATATTAATGACCTCTACTTTATATTTTATTTTTATTAATTTCTGGATTCCTTGTATATTGAAACCAAAACTTTTAAAATTGATAGGAACCACTACTGAATGCTACTACCTTCATCACTGTAAAGACGGCAGAATGTCTGTTTATGTTTTTGGAAATATTGTTCCATTTTATAGTGTATATTTTAATAAAAATTAGAATACACTTAGCTTTTTCTTTCTGTTTTTCCTGCTCAATAAAGGCATTATTCGCTAAATTTAGATACTTATTTCCTAATCGAATAAATTCATTACAAATATTAGTTTTATTAAATGTTTACATTGAGTAATTATTAATAAAAAAAATAACTAATTTGGTAAGAAAATCTTTTTATTAGCGTAATATATTGATTTTTTGATGTTATAAATGGTACATCTCATAGCTATATAAATATAAATATATTCCATAAAGTTTTATAATATACAGGGTGTCTCACGGTGACGGCCCATTAGAATTATTTCAGAGACTACTTCGGTTTGAATTTTGAAAATTTGGGATACCGGGTTTTCGGGCATGCCCTTCTCAACTAAAATAATGGCGTCCACGTATCACATCCGGTTATACCGGAAGTCGCCATCAACTTGCTTATTTTAAACGGAACATCCTATATATTATTGCAATTTTGGATTCTACGTATTATTTTAGGTGGACTTTTACGAAGTTTCTCTATTCCTAAAATTAACCGTTTTCGAGATATTTAATTTTTTTCAAAAAAATGGAGAGGAACAGTGAATAGCTTTTATAGTAAGAAAGATAAAGCAACAATATTTATAGGGAGGATAGCTAGACCCTTAAGCTTCCCATCCATACTTTCGAAGTGGCTTTATATATATGTGGTTTTTTTTAATGGAACACCCTGTATGCTTTTCTATATTCTGATACACAATTTTATTCTCTTTTGAACAGTATCAGGGTTCCCTTTACCTATCTCTTCTAGTTTTTAAGTTATCTACTATTTTTTGTGTAATCACCCATAATCATGTAATTTCTTGCGAGGATAGCTGTGGAATTTTTAGCAAAACTTCAAAACAAACAACTAAACTGTCAATTTGTTAGTCTCGTGCAGTGACAGTTTAATTGAGTGTTTGTAAGAAATGGAAAACAATACATATTCAAATGCAGATATTTTAAATTTATTATTCATTCACGGACGTTGCAATGGGATTATAAGCAGAACATGTACAGTTTTTAATGAGACATATCCAAATTTGCCACCAATGAGCAGAAAAAAGTTAAGAAGAATTTTAGCAAATCAATTAGAATATGGTTGAATTTCTGCAGAAAGAATTTTACCAAAACCAATAACTTCAAATGAAGATAACGTAATAAATGTGCTAGCCTATTTTAATGTTTATCCAGAATCCGTAACTCGTGCCGCAGAGTATGATTTAGGCATTTCACGAGCGTCCATTCACAGGATGCTAAGAACTAATGATATGCATCCATACAAATTTAAGCTACTTTCTGCTCTTCATCCGGGTGACGCCGTGCAACGTGTACAATTTTGTGAAACGATGTTAGTGCAATACCAAGAAGATCCACAATTTTTGCAATATATTAGTATATGGACAGACGAACCAAAATTTACGAGAGAAGGTATTTTTAATACACATAATACTCATTTATGGTCATCTGAAAATCCTCGTGTTACCTGGGAAAGAAACTTTCAAAATAAATTTAGCGTAAATGTTTTTTGTCTAATTAAAGATAACCAAATTTCTTACCATATCTACGAAGAAAATTTAAATGCCGACAGATATCTCAATATTTTGCAAACGGTTGTGGCAGATTTCATAGACGATATACCTTCAGACCAACTAAGGAAGTGTTGGTATCAATTAGACGGAGCTCCACCTCACTGTCACAAACAAATCGATCAACAGCTGACTGAAATGTTTGAAGATAGATGGATGAGACGCCTAGGACTGTGGAATTGAGGTCTCCCGACCTCACTCCATTAGATTTTTATGTTTGAGGAGTAATAAAGCAAAAAGTTTATTTTACACCCGTCGCTTCAAAAGAGGATTTGATTGCTCGAGTACGAAGAGCGTTCCATGAATTTCCTGCAGCTGAAATAGCAAAAGCGGTGATGGTGTTATCTCTAGAATACACAAGTGTTTAGCTGTTAATAGGGGTCATATTGAACACTTATGATTTTTTTGTCATCTTTTTATCTTAGTGCATTATTGTTATCAACATACATAATTAGAATTGTGTATTACTATGTATGAAGTTGATTTTTTAGAATTCTTAACTTTATTCTGCTCATTGGTGGAAAATTGGGATGTCTCATTAAAACTGTAAATGTTCTACCTACTTAGAATCATATAATCATAAATAACTAGTGACAGTTTAATTGTTTGTTTTGAAGTTTTGCTAAAAATTCCACAGCTATCACATGATTTTAGGTGATTACACAAAAAGTAGTAGATAACTTAAAAACTAGAAGAGATAAGTATAGGAAACCCTGATACCGTTCGAAAGAGAATAAAATTGTGTATCAGAATATAGAAAAACATACAGGGTGTTCCATTTAAAAAATCGACTTATGAAGGTTTGAAGTTAACTAAACTCGGCATTAAATTTCTAGTACCCTATATGCAATTAAGCCACTTCGAAAGTATGGATGGGAAGCTTAGGGGTCTAGCTATCCCCCCTATAAATATTGTTGCTTTATCTTTCTTACTATAAAATACACATTGTTTGAAGCTAGTCACAGTTTCTCTCCATTTAAAAAAAAATTATATATCTCGAAAACGGTTAATTTTAGGAATAGGGAAACTTCATAAAAGTCCACCTAAAATAACACGTAGAATCCAAAATTGCAATAATATATACCTAGGGTATTCCATTTAAAATAACCAAGTTCATGGCGACTTCTGGTATAACCGGAAGTGGTACGTGGACGTCATTATTTTATTTGAGAAGGGCATGCCCAAAAACCCGGTAGGTATCCCAAATTTTCAAAATTCAAATCGAAGTAGTCTTTGAAATAATTCTAATGGGCCGTCACCGTGAGACACCCTGTATTTATGGTCAAAAAGTATATTGCTGTATTTGAAATAAAATTAAATTCATTTTCCATAGAAAATTATTTTTAGAAAAAATACATGCTTAAACTCTATACTCTATATTATTATCACATTCATATTGAGGTTGGAAACGCTAGCTGGCTGGATTGGTAAATTACCAATGTTTCTTGGCAATCTCTTTTAATTTAAATTTTCATAAATCAGCAATACCCACAACTTGTGTCTACGGGCTTGGTGTTAGTTAATTTTATAGAAGTCTCGGTACAAGTATTAGATGCAACCAACAGTGGTTCTAATTTATTTTTAATTTGTGCTATCATCGTCATAAAGGCTTGTTCCACATTTGTTGCATTTTTAGCAGAAGTTTCCAAAAAAGTTATTCCCAATTTCTTAGCGTAATTCTGTTCAAAATAAATATTTTTATATTAGAATGGGCAGATTAACTTTTACACATATTTTACTTACAGTGGCAGTAGAAGTATCAACAACTTTCTTTGTAGTTAAATCATTTTTATTTCCAACAAGCAACTTGTTGATACTGCCCCCTGCATGGTATTCAATATCCTTAAGCCATTCTTGGATATTGTTAAAAGTATTTTCTTTCGTACAGTCGTAAACAAGAATAACTCCATGAGCTCCTCGGTAATAGGTAGGAGACAAACATCGAAATCTTTCACATCCTGCTGTGTCCCACTAATAAACCAAAGACAGGATCACATCAGAAAGTCGATATTATAGATTGTCACAGTAATTTTTGACATATTAAATACAGGTTCGGAAAGTCCCCATGGTTCATCGGCCGTTACGTGAGAGCAATAAAGTAAGTAATAGAAATCCGTGCGATAGACAAGGATGGTTACATTGAAAACATTTCATAATCTGAATAGTCACTCTCACTTCTAACCCGAAACGGGCGGTGACTATTCAGATTATGAAACGTCATCACTATAGCCATCCTTGTCTATCGCACGGATTTCTTTATTTTACATTGTCGCTCTCATGTAAAGACAGATGGACCATGTGGATTTTCCAGCCCTGTATATCAGAAAATATAACAGAAATATTTAAGGGGTTTATTACCATGATTTGGTTTTTTTTCCAGATTAAATTATATCAAAACAAATTTTTTAAATTTGTTTGTACTTCTCTATAACATGCCTAAAAAATAAACTATTTACTAATGTCACAAATAAATAATAAATGCTTTTTGACAATAATTTTTAATAGTGACAAAATTAATAAACAAATTTGTAAATTAATATTTTTGCGAATATACTGACGATTTGAAACAACATATTCATCACACCAATTTGCTTTTATGTACATATAAAGATTGTACCATGGTTTTCGGGTTGTTATGCCCATAGCCTATATACCCAGTGACTGCCGGTTACAGAATTTTTATTACACTTCCTTAGCCGAAGCTACGGATATTTGATCTGTTCTTGTTCCAGGCTCTGTGGGGGCGGACCAGCTACCAAAACCCCTAAATTTACCCTGATATTGATTTTAGTTCTTGTTGATGGTTCTAATGCCGCTACGGACGGAACCGCTTCTCAGACAATTGTGGTCCTCTGAGAAGTTCCGTAGTGGCATCTATAACTAGTCACATCCAATGCTTCCAATGATTCTGCCTCCACAGAGCCTTTCCCTAGAACAACAAGGCAGGTCAAAGAAGTTAGGAAGCTGAGGCTAAGGAAGTGCAATGTAAGTCAGTATGTGGCAGCCATCATCAGTTACATAGGCTACGGCATAACAATCTATGCAAAATGGAATATTGGGACATCCTGTTTATGTTAAGATTGAAAGAAGACTTTAGTACCACTTAATATTACTTACAATTTGCAATTTGATAATCTTGCCATCCATTTCAATTGTTCGAATTTTCTAAAATAAGAATAACATTTCTATAAATATAATATGTATATTAGATGGAAAATATTTATATGTGCACACTGTTCAAGAAAAAGGTGAAACATAAAGGACGACAAACAGATACATTTTTCAGTTTTTGAGATATTTTTTTAAATTTAATTTCTGATTTAATTTTTTTCTGGTATTATCAAAGCTATCAGAGAAAGAAAAACACATCTGCATTGCAAATTTTTATATACTTTTTCATGAAAATGTTACTTTTGCTTTAACTTATAACACTTTAAATACGTTTTTATTTAATTTACTGTACCTATTCGAATCGTCATTAATTTATTATAACTAATTTTTGAGCTTTCGTTGGCCTAATTCTACAGTTTTTTTCTTTTTGTAATAAAGGGCAACATTTCATATATAATTACAGAACATTTCTGATGATGGCCAAAATGTATCTGAATGCAGAATTCTACTTGAAGAAAAAAAATATATTTTTATATATTTATTTCACCAGTGATAAACATTATTATCATATTATTATTATAACTATTATAAGTATTTTAAAAGACAGCGCACGCCATTTAAAAAAAATGAAGTTGACGATGGTAAATATAAAACGAAAAGTCGAATGTTAAACCCGACATTTTTATAAGAAAATACATAAATACACCAAAAGAAAATAAAATGGAAGAACTAAATGTTTACCCTATATGGCGCAACTATATTTTAATTTGAGCATTCTGTATCTTTTGCCAATTTCCATTAAAGATATCGTATTCTTATTTTGGGTATGGAGCATAAGTTCATATATTAAAGGAAATATGTACATGAAAGAAAAATAAAATTTAATTTGCAGGACTTGAAACTAAATCTCAAAATAATTTTAATTACATTTCATACAAAATTAATTTTTAAAGAATCAATTTCAATGGTATTAAATTAATTTGATTTCCAAAGTTATCCTTTATATTTATACGTAAAAAGTTATATTTTAATAACTATAATTCATATACAAAAACAAAATAATAATCGTTATACTTACAAAATCCAAAATAGTGACAGAATAATCTTCTTTATAGATATCATCCTAAAAATATAATTTATTGATAAATTATACAGGGTGCTTGGAAAAGTTGGTACAAAATCTTAGGAGGTGAAAGTAGAGCCAAAAATAGTAAAAAAAGTTCCTTTGGAGCACCGTTTCTGAGATATGGCCCTCCAAGGGGTCTTATTTGGATATTTTTTAAAATAACTTTCTTTCTGATTAAGATAATGGAAAATGAAAATTGTAGGTAATAATCAGGTTGTAAAAAAGTCAAATAAAATGCAAAGTCGAGCACAAAGATCACAACTAAGAAAATAAAGAAACATAAGAATTTTTTAAATGCTAGCACGCGAAAATGACAATCATTAGTATCATTACAATGAAACTGTCATCATGAAAGATACTATGTGAAAATGTTAAAAAAAAGTTACTGTTCTGAGCCATACATTATTTAAAAAATAATTATTTCTGACTAAACTACGCAGAATTCGAAAAAAAAGTAGACATTTTCTCTTCAAAAAAGTTTAATTCATAAAAAAAATAATATTTGTAGATAATTCAAATCCAAAAAAATCGAAAAATTTCTGTTAAGGGTAGTTAGAAAACTATCCTTATTTATAACTGATTTTGATGAAACTTATGATAGTTAAAGACCCTTATGGTATGATTATTACCTACAATTTTCATTCCATTATCTTAATCAGAAAGTTATTTTAAAAAATATCTAAATGATAAGACCCATTTGGAGGGCCATATCTCAGTAACGGTCCTCCGAAGGATCAATGTTTATAGGAACTTTTTTTACTATTTTTGGCTCTATTTTCACCTCCTTAAATTTTGTACAAACTTTTCCAAACACCCTATATTTAAAACTACAACAAACATAGCAATCAAAACTAAAATGTTAAATCACCAAAAGCAACAATCCTTTTTTTTTCGAAAACCCACTTGTGCCAGTATATTTTGTACCCTTAATAATAAGGCTAACTTAATGAATTAAAGAAATCTCTAAGTAACATATGTGATACTTTTGCTAACCTATATCCTAAATACAAGTACATACTATATCATCAGTACTCATCATCAGTCATCAGTTTTTGTACTTTCTGTTCTTATTATTATTTCAAATAAGCTGAACCCTCATATGTGATTACAGATACGTTGTAACCACGTGACCATCAACATCCGTCACGTGGTTACAACAGATCCGTGAACCGTGACACGCATGCATGTGGATCCAGGTGTAAGAGTTTCGACGAATTTTAAATTAAAAAAAAATTACCTAAGAAGATATCGAAAAGAATAATTTTACAAAAGTTGTTGCTACTGCGATGAATTAAACAAACTTTCGCCATCTATATTTGTGGGACACCCTGTATAACAAAGATATATAGACATTCATATATATTGTTATGATAATGTGTGGATGAGTGTTTATGTTAGCGCCAAAAAAAAATTTTATTGTTGTGATATCAATTTGGTTTTTGGTGTATTGGTGGTTGTATACCTTTGCCCTACCTAGCTCTAGACTCCTCTCAGTAGTCGGTTCTATTCACTATATGCTTTAGCAAGAAACCACACACAATCACAGCTATAAATACAAAAGGTTTATTAATAAAGGAATTTATTATTGTTTTGTTATATATATGTCAAAATTTGTCAATAAGTACTGTTAAATACTATAGTCAATATTTTGAAGTATTTCACACTATTTCCAAAACCTTAAACAAGATGTTCTATCGATACGACTGTTATAATTAAATTTCATGTATGACTGGATGCATACATTAAGATATTGACATTTTATCTTATAACTTCTTGTTTAACAACTGGTTATTTATTTCTAAGATTAATATTTAATTTTACAAAGATTGGCCAATTTTGATTATGTCTGATATAGTTAAATAAATTTGTTTAATATGAAATTAGTGACGCTAAACTTTTTATATACTACTTACTTTTGAAAATCTGTATCAAACTATTTCGTATACGAATTTTACTTTTATTATAAAGGTACCTTTTATACGTATTATCGTTAATGACTTGTCGACTGATTTCTCTCCTTTACTCTGCTTGAGTGTTTTCCTAAATTCTGGTCTATCCTATCTCGTTTACTTTCAGGAACCTGTCGACTATGCTGCTTTCTTACTGGTCTCCTGGATTCTGCTACTGATATTCCGTTTTCTTACTGGCCTTTGGAACTTGCTACTGCTATTCCTCGTTCTTTCTGTCTTCCTGGACCTTGTTTGTTGGTACTCCGCTCGTCTTGTATTTCTTGGGTCACTTTTTTTTACCACTTGGTACTTTTATATTCTTGCTTTCTCCCACTTGAATCTTTTTATACTCTCTCGCTCATTAACTACTTATATTTCTATAGGTTTTCTTTTCTTTCTTCAACAACTGTCGTTTTTCAAAATATTTCTGTAACTAATCAATAATAATCTATTTTCTTTTTTACTATCTTGATTTTTCTTTTCCTTCTAAAGGCCTTTCCACATATCTTTTAACGTGCCATTTTCCTTTTGTAATTCACTTCACTTCACTTTCTCCTTTGCACTTATACACCCTATTCTACTTTCTTTACAATCAATTTTGCCTTATACTTCAAAATATTTCTTATTTTATAATATTATTTGACCTTTCTAGTGACTACTGAATTCCTTGTGGATCCCACTTTAAATTTGACATTTTTCTGACATATCCTTTTAATTAATCTACAAATTGTCTTTCGATTTTAATATCTTTTATTAACTCTTATTCTACCTTATTTTTTAACTATTTAATCAAACTCTGGCATTTTAACTTTTGTTTGATATCTACCAATTCTGCATTTTAATTAATTTCAACTATATTTTTCTTATAACATCTTGGCCTATGCTCCAATTGACTAAAATGATAATAAATTTTATACTTAAATTTTGAAATTTGTCCTGATCTACTAATCCGACTTTCTTCTACTGATTCCTCATACTTATTCAATACTAACAACTTTTTTTTTATAATCAAATATTTTCCCAATTTTGTAATAACCATTCCAACCATTGCCTTTACCGTTTTGTCTTTTAAATAAATATTTAATTTAAATTTTACTTTTCTCGTTAATCTGATTTCATCTCAATATATATTCGAGCAAATGTAAACGGTCCTTTTTTTGTTTCTAAGAATATTGTGTAGTACAAAAATAATAAAACTTACAGCAAATCTCATTACTAGTGATGATTTGCCCACGGCAGCGTCACCGACTATAACCAGTTTGAATAAGTAATCACTGAAAAAATATTTGTTGTTATGGGTGGAAATATGTCTTAAGAACTATATCAAGGATTTGTTAATTAATTTTAAAACTTTATATATCTGTTTCAGTTTCATTATTACTCATAGAAGATTGAGCAATGTAAACCATATCTGTTAATTTTTCTAAATTTAAGTGCAGCCAACTTCTATTTTCTTATCTACAATATTTATTTAATGCAACAAAATTTGGTCACAGATTCTTAAGACAAATTTAGGGGACCCGTATTTTTTTATTTTTTCCAAGTAGCCCCCTCTTTCGGAGTTACAGCCCCCTGAAGTCCGCCCCTAAAAATAATCTTTATTTTATATCTCAGAACATTGAATGAGAATCACTAAATTTGGTACACAGGGGTTTTATGCGTTTTATGACATGTGGAATATGATGGTGCTACGTTTTTCTGGCGGGGAACCCCCTTTAGACAATTTTTAGTGGGCCCCCTTGTCTTTGGAGCCAAAAAAATTTGGTCGCATATTTAAATTTCTTAAAAAATTATTAGTCCACTAGAAAGCCATTAAATTTAGAAACTTTTTGTCACTTTATACTTTTTTCGTAAGAAGCAATATTTTCGAGAAAAATGTCAAAATCTGATCGAATAATGCATATCATGATTCGCCATTTTCCTCAAAAACATTGCGTTTTACGAAGAAAATATCAAGAGACGAAAAAGTTTCTAAATTCAATGGCTTTATAATTAACTAATAATTTTTAAAAAAATCAAATTTGCATCCAACTTTTTCTGGCTCCAAAGACAAGGGGGCCCACAAAAAAGTGTCTTAAGCGGGTTTCTCGCCAAAAAGCGTAGCACTGTGTACCAAATTTAGTGATTCTCGTACAACATGGTTTTGAGATATAAAAATACTTCTTAGGGGCAGATTTCAGGGGGTTGTAACTCCGAAAGAGGGGGCCAGTTGGAGTTGGCAAAAAGAAAAAATACGGGTCCCCTTTTGTCTTAAGAATCTATGACCAAATTTTGTTGCATGCATTTCGGGACAGCCTGTATAGATATATAAATCCAATAGTTTCGGCACAAGAATAAATGTTGTTATTTATTCTTGTGGTTTCGACGACCATACTTTGATATAGGTACATCTATATATTTTATATTTATTCAATATTTATGCACCTCTAACAGCCACTTTGCATGAAGCGTATGTAAGAGCAGTAGGTACTTGTCTATGATCAGTACAGCGCATAATCTACCTAAGGGTTAGTTCTAACCGAAAAAGCAGTTCTTAAAAAAAAAAGTTAGTTCTAAAAGTTAAAAAGGGCAGTTGCAAAATTTGATTGCTTGAAGTACTATGAAATTGAAATTTCATGAATACTAATGTTAAATGCCGGTTCTCTAAAAGGTTAATATAAATAAATAACATAAATTTATTGAAATAAAACAATGAATACTACTCAGGTACTTTGAGTACAGTACATGGAACATTTAAAATTAATAAACTCGAAAGGATATAACAAAGAATTATCATACAATCTTACAATAATTTAAATTTAAAAAGTACTGCATCTTTTTTTTTTGGGGTATTGGGCTTTATATTGGGAAGTTATTTGCACAAATCAAAATTTTCGGGCGCTAGCATAGGGCGATTGATTTTGGGTAGTTCTTAAAATTCATTAGATTATCTCCTGGATTAGTATACGAATCATCAGGATGAAATCGAGTACCATATTTGTTTAACGTAGTTCTACAGACTAATCATACGCACTCTATATTATCACAGAATATATAGCTACGCTAGCGTAGCTATATATTCTGTGATATTATGAATTGTTCGTATAAGCAAATGGTACGCGGTTGTCCGTACTGATGTTCCGACAGGTATGTGGATCCGACGATATGCTTCATGTGAAACAGCTGTAAGCGATTACAAGATTTAAACAAATGATCGATCTGAAAGTGAATGATAATAATGAATATTTATTCTAGTGCTTTTATCAACAAATGGAATTTCCCAGTCTTGTTTTTTTCTTTGTTACCATTTTTTATTATCACATAAACATGGGCGTATAGTTAGGCGGGGGCAGGGCAAGGATTTTATACAAGGATTGTATAAAATCCTTGGGGGCAGGGGTGTGCATGGCCCACCCCAGAAAAAAAGATGTAACATTATTATCTTTGTCATATCGGTAAGTCGGAGACTGCGTAACCTTTTTTTTTGTTTTAGAATGAAATCAAAGCCTGTTCAAATTTTATATCGGTAATTTTTTTTAGAGTCCTCCATATAGAGCTTGCAGCTCTGAGTCCACCCCAAGCAAAAATTATAGAATGCACATAAGAGGACATGCGCGTCTACTTTTAGTTTTTTTTTTATAAATTCAGTAAATCATTCGTTTAGCAAAAAACATTGCGAAAAATTATTTTCAAGTTTGTAATATAGATTTTATTACAAGGGTTATAAAAATAAAATTAAATTTATTATTTCATTTGTATTTATTGGCATAGGCGCGTAGCTACAATTTGTGTTTGGAGTGAGCCCGCCCAGGGCTGCAAGCTATATATGGAGGCCTCTAAAAAAAAAAAGTTTTCGCTGTCCACCGCTATACATGTTTTGATTTAATTCTAAAAACAAAAGATCACCGACTTAAAAACCGATATACACCTTTTGATTTAATTCTAAAAAAAAAAGATCACTGACAACCGATAAGACAAAGATAATATTAATAGATTTTTTATTCTACGGTGAGCACGGGGTTTTCAGGGGTGGATCATGCATACCCCCCCCCCCCCTAGCTACACCCATGTTAATTGATACAACATTTTTATGTAGCAAGATAGGTAGTCTACACGTGACTGCGGAATATTTTAAATTTTTAAATGTAGAGAAATATACATACATACAAGTACTTACATATCTTTATCCATCTTTCTAATCACAAAATACGTATACTAGTACGTGATAAGGAACTTCACTTGTGTCTAGCTGTGAACATTAAATGATAAAATGTTTACAACTGTTCAGTGTAAATGTGGGTTTGTTGTTTAGAGTTTAGGCTCCGCCTCGCTATTCTGCTAATCTATTTCCAATATTGTTCTTCCTTATTTATATTATCATGCAATACTTGAATAGGCACTCTTCGCATTTTTAATTTGTTTAATCGTTTAATACTACCTACTAAATTTCATTAAAATAATATTTTTTCTGAAATATTTTCCAAAATGTAATTTATGTAAAAAACTGTACGGTGCGGTAGAGTCATCCCAAACATCGAGCCATACAAATAGATTTAGAATGTGCTAACATTAAACAATTTAACTAAAACTTATTTTTAAATCTATTTTAAAATTTTCAGTTTTTTTTCATTGTCATGGAGTGGATACATTTATTAAACAGAAATTGTTACTGACGTGATACAAAAATTTCAGTTTCCGTTTATTTTACAATAAATAAAAAGTGACCTTCCGGTTTTCTGTAATTATTTCTGAATAAAACGTGTTTAATAAAAATGTTTCATTAAGTAATAAATAATAAAAATTACACCAGCAAATTCAGATGAGACGCGCATAGCAGACCGCGCATCGTTTTTGGTCTACAGAGACCCTCCACAATTCGCCAGCTGTGTGTAACAAACGTATTTAATTATTGTTTTTAATCTGCAAAAAGTATGTACCCACAATTATACTCTTTAATTTTAATTTATTAAACATCCTGAAAATATTTAAAATAATAATAGCTTATTGTATGTATAATTATAAATACAAAATACAATTGCAAGCATTAATGTCAATTTTATATCAAAAAATGGCTCTGAAACTCTATACTTTATAACATAACCCGCTGCCACTAACAAAAAGCGATTAAACTACCTTATAATCACTAAGGTGATTAGAAAAATATCGCGAAGTAGTAATAAAGCTATAGTCATTTCTTCAAATGAATAATTTTAGTATTTTACAATTACCTTTGTGTTTATCACGATTATTATAGGTACTTATCTTACTATCTATTTTAATGTGTTCATACACGAGTAAAACATTCTTATTACGGCCCTGATCAGTGCTTTCCCAACCAAGGACACCGAAAACGGATGAATGATATCAAGTTCTTTTTAGTACTGACGCACATACTTCTATACATACATATACCCTGTTAGTAATCTGTGTATATACCAGAGATATGGAGTAGGGGAGAATGAGCTTCGACGAGTGCGCATCCATTAAAAGACCTAGACACCAACTTTTTGACCCTGGGTGACCACCCCAATGACCCCCCCCCCCTGCCCGCTAACCTTTTCTGTTTCAGAGACAGCCAGGATCAAGAAACGAAGACAACGACACACACACACACATACACACCCCCCATACCCTCCTTAACCCTCCCCTCCCGCGCTAGCCTAAGGGCCACCTTAGCAAAGCGCATCCCAGGCTGCATAGCCGCACTACCCTACCCAACCATACCACACATAAACATGACACTACCCCCGGGGTTTACACAGACGAGCCGGCGAAGCAAGAAGAGCGCCAGAAGAAAGGGCCCTAGCCGGCGGGGCCCAGCCAGGACAAAAGGAGGTCCCACAAAGCGCCTACACCGGCCGCATTTGCGGTCGGGGTAGACGACGGATGGGGCCCACCTACGAAGGCTGTCCAGGCCTACACGAGATGAGGCAGGATAAAGAGGGATAATCCCCCTCGATCCCAAATCATTGAGG